CTGTTGTACATAGGATTTTCAGAGGCCTGCTATTTCAGAAGTGGATGGCCAATAAGAGATATACCTTTAACTTGCTGGTCTGTCTGATACTTCTCTAAATCTGAACATTCACATTAAGACAGACTAGGAAGAAGGATTGGCCATCCACTTCTGAAATAGCAGGTCCATAACTCTAATTAGAAGAAATATTAATACCCTCCGGAAATTCCAGTGTTCTCATTAATAGACCTATAATTTTTTTAAAAAAAATTAGTTATCACTATTTGTGTTGTTAACTGAATTTTATCAAGAAAAATTTGGGGGAAATACTTTATTGAGGTGGGTGTACAATATGCAGTTAGGGACATCTTCATATTACTGAGGCACAATGATGTCAGTTTGAGGACTGAGTTGAATCTGATTCAGGCCATAGTCTATCCAATCACTTGCTATGCATCTTGAGAGATGGACAATGAATGAAAATGACAGAAGAAGAATTGATTCCTTTGAGCTGTGGTGTTGGGAGAAGAGAACTGAACATCCCACGGATGACGAAAAGAACAAACATGTCTTGGAGACGGTGCCACCGGAATGCTCTTTGGAGGCAAGACTGATGAGATTTAGCCTCACATACTTTGGGCATGTAGCTAGGAGGGGCTAATACCTGAAAAGGTGTATGATGCTGGGAAGGGTGGAGAGTTGATGAAGGAGAGGAAGGCCCTCGATCAGGTGGACTGACGCAGTGACTGCGGCAATAGGCTCTTGGGTGTCAGGAAGTTGTGAGGATGGCACAGGATAGAACAGGGTTCAGATCTTTTGTTCATAGGGTCGCTATGAGTTGTACTTGATTCAATGGAATCTAACAATGACACCACTACCTACATCATCCACCTACATCACAGATTTGATTTTTCCTCTAGGCTAGAAAACTTGAAAATATGTACTATCTGCCTTTCATCAAAAGTTTACCAATACCTGAAGCAGAGACACAAAATTATGGAATTTGGGAGGAAGCTCTGGTGGCCTAGTGGCTAGAAGCTGCACTGCAATCCCAGAGGTGCATGGTTCAAATCCACCAGATGCTCTGCTGGAGAAGGAGGGGCAATCTCCTCCTGCACCAGTCAGATCCGATTTGACGGTACACACACACACACAAATAATAAAATAAAACAAACTTAAAAAAAAATTATGGAATTTGGAATGCAAGAAAAATTTATTTTGAGGTACAGTATTGGAAAAATGTCCCTGATGAAGTAGAAGTAAATAATCTAAAATATTAATTAATTTCAGGTACCAACAACAACAACAGTCAAATTATGAATTATAATTTTCTTCACTTATTCTAGTTTTAATTTTTTCCCCCTTAAAATAGAACCAAAGTTAAATATTATTTCTAAATCTTTTTTAGTATTTAATAAAGCTTGGGCTCCAAGACAAATGATAATGACTATGAGTGGATTACTTAATTAAGATTCTTAGGAATAAAGTGATAATATTTTAATTTTTATATAAACTTAAGACAAACCCTGTGTTTAAAATATTGGTATTTATTTACTGAGCAATATTTATTTAAAGAGTTCTGTTTAGAAGTTAAACATTATTTAAGTGCTTTATAAATATTAACTCATTTAATCCTCATAATAATTTACATTTCACTGATGAGAAAACTGAGTTAGAGTGCCCAAGTAAACTGGCCAAAGTCAGACAGTTGTTAAGTGGCAGAAAAGACTGGTTTCCAAAAACCACACTTATATCACTAGACTGTACCTTTCATTTTCCAAACTGAGCTGGTTTTCAAAATGGCTAGAATATTAGTGAAAGACAGTGCATTATGCACAACTACTTTATTTCTAAAATATAAGCAACAAGAATCTGGACAATCAAGAATTTATCAAAAGCGTACCTGAATCTCTTCAATTCCCAAGTTTCAACAGACTGAATTACATAACAAGATCCTCCTTTATTTATATGAACAGGAGAATGGAATAAAAGGAAAGGGAAAGAAATGCAGGTCTTTGTTCACAATAACAAAGAGTTGGAAACAAACCAAGTGCCCATCAACAAACGAATAGAGAAACTGTGGTATATTCACACAATGAAATACTACGCTGCATTGAAAAACAAAAAACTCATGAAATATTATACAAAATGGGTGACCTGGAGGACATTATGTTGAGTGAAATATCTCAACCACAAAAGGACAAATACTACATAATGACACTGTTATAAAACAGGACTGACATTGGGGCTGGGGGGAAACTAAGAAAAGGGGTTAAATATTATACACTGCATTGAACTTGATGAGGGAGAGAACTGTTTAAAAGGGATATATAATTAAGTATTATTTGCATGGCAAGAGTCCAGAATAAGAGTTGCATAGTAAAGTGGCCTAGAGGGGATTGTATAACAATGCAAGAATGTTTTTTTCTCTCTGTCTTCTCAAAGAGAAAAGTGAACTGGAGGGGAGTGGGCAGGGAGGAAAATATGCAACAATAAATGAATGAAAATCCAAGTTCTTTATAATCTTTCATTAAAATCTCAATTTAAAAAAGTTACTAAAAAAATGCAAATCTACTGTGAGTTTAAGTAATTTGCATGTTGTGCTTAATTCAATCTAAATTTAATTCAACAAATTCCATTCATTGTAAACTCACATACAGTGACAAAGAAATAAAATAGAGATTCCAAGTACATTTTGCTCTAATGGCACAAATATATTGATATATAGTCAAAAGACAGTCAAGTCTCTTTAAATTCATTTTAAATGAGGCTCCTTCCCTTACATTTAAAGATCTTGGTATGTATAAAATTTACCTTGTCCTAGAAGAACTTTAAAAATTAAAAAAAAAAACTCCTCAAGACCAAACTTTTCTTTTATACTCAATATTAACAGGTATACAGAAATGTGCTTAATTAGGAATGGATGACTTGAATGAAGTTGATGACAGTAAGAGGGTGTGTGGAGGTATTTGACCACAGCTTTAATTTGCATTTCCCTAACTGCTAAGAGAGGAGCCCTAGTGACAGAGCAGTTATCACTCAGTTGCTTATTACTCAAACCCACCAGCAGGCAATTTGCTTCCATAATAATTACAGCCCTGAGGCAGAGCGACTGTGCTCTACTGGGTAACCATGAGTCAAAACTGACCCACTGGCAGCAAGTTTAATAGCTAACAATAGTGCACCCCTGTTTTTTTAATGTGAATCAGTAAAAGAGGAAGATCGTTTACCTGTGACTGGCCTTTTCTCTTCCATGGAGCAAAAAGTCGTGTTGTCTGATCAGTGCCAACAGTGATGATAAATTCTCCTTTTGGATCCCACATGAGGTCTTGGACGCCATCAAAGTGTCCTGAAATGACAACCTCGGGCGTCCACTCTTTCTGTAAAGGAAAGTATTCACGACACATTTATCAAAGACCACTATGATTCAGGCATTCATGTTTGATAACAGGAAAGACTGAAGACCCTATAAAAAGGTACTGACATCATAAAGTAATGAGAGCTATTTCCCTAACAGGGAGCTCTAGTGACCTCATCTGTAGAGGGCTGAGCTGCTAATCCAGAGGCAAGCCTCTCTAGTAGTTTGAATGCACCAGCAGATCTGAGAGAGAAAAATGAAACTTCTTCCTGTGGGATTTATATCCCAAGAAACCTAATAAGAGTCAGCTGTGAGTCAGTTCATCTCAAGTACTTCGAACATGTTTAGGAGCCATTCCTTGGAATAAGACATCACGCTGGGAAAAGCAGTGGGTCATCACAGAAGATAAAGATCCTTAAGGAGATGGACTGACCGAGTGACAGTAGCAATGGCGTATGTCTGAGATGCTGAGGATGGTACAGTACTTAGCAAAGTTCAGATCTGCTGTTCTTCAGATCATTACAAGTCACATTCAGTTCAAGAGCACCAAAACAACAAGAGTCAGACAGTAAATAACTAGGATGCCTCAATTAACACTCAGAAAACTAAAGATGCACAAGAAGGATGGGCAATCTTCTCCAGTGTAATTTACGGCCTCTGAAAACCCAATGGAGGGTCAGTTATGAGTTGGTTCCGACTTAAAAGCACATAACACCAGAAATAAAGATAGGAACAGCACATATTATTATATGGAAGATTACATGAATTTTTATCTATTTAGCTTGCAGAAACAATGATAGGACATACTAGGTACAATTTAGTATATGCTGTTGTAGTTGTTGTTATGTGCCGTCGAGTCACTGGCGACTCATAGTGACCCTATGTACAACAGCCCTAAACTCTGTTCTGTCCTGTGTGAATCGCACTGTCTCTGACACTCCCAACCCGATTACCCCAGTCACTGAATTAATCCACCTCATAGAGGGTCTTCCCCTCCTGCGCTATCCCTCCACCCTCCCAAGCATGATGTCCTTCTCCAAGGACCAGTCTCTCCTTACAATATGTCCAAAGTATGTTAGACGGAGCCTTAGATGCTAAATAATAAGGAGAACTGAATAAAATGAGTCACTGTATTCTGAGTATGTGCCTGATGGAAATCTCTATTAAGTAAAAAGAGGTGTATGTGTTCAGAACAGAAAGTTCTATCAAGGGCCTAGATTTGCTTATATGAACAAAATACAGAAGGCATTCTATCTCCGGTCCACAGAACTTTCTGTTGAACAATTTCAAGTCAACTTGTAGTTGACTTGGAAAAATTTGATCTTTAGAGAACTAAATTGGTATAAATAGCCCAAAGAACATTCATAGTCATGGTTGATGAATACAGTCAGTGATTAAGCTAGGTTTTATTATTTCTTGGTCAAAAAAAAAAAGGATAGTGACAAAGAAATACTATTATATTTTCCTCTGTGAAATAAAAGCCAATTCTAAAGTTAGAACAGACTTGGGGGTGGGACAGATTTCTCAGAAAGTTTTCAGAAATGGGAAGTACTTTTGGGCCAATAGTACAGTTTTTCAGAATCATAATGGAAAAGGGCATTGCTTTATATGCACAAATTATGACGATGATAATGACGATGATGATAATGATGATGATGATGAGTGTACCTTCGAATTGGATATGACTGGTACAGGAGGAGATTGCTCCTCCTTTTCCAGTGGAGTATCTGGTGGATGTGAACTGTGTGCCTTTGGGATTACAGTGCAGCTTTTTGCCACTAGGCCACCAGAGCTTATATGCACAAATTAAAAATCCAACCCCACTGCCAACAGGTTGACTCTGACTTACAGAAACCTTACATTAGTTTTCTGAGGATACAGTCTTTCGGGAGCAAACCACCCCTTTTCTCTTAAGTCAAGTGACAGGTTCAAAACAATAGCCTAGACCTTGGAAGTAATTTTTAAAAAGAAATAAACCTGGTGCAAATCAAGAATCCTGATGGTGTAGTGCATAATTCACTGTGCTGCCAAGTGAAAGACTGGCAACTTGAGTCTATCAGCCAATCTGGAGGAGGAAAGATGGACAGGCAACTCCAAGAAAGACTTCAACCATGGAAACCCAACAGAGGATTCCTGAGAACTGGAATCCACTCAGTGGCAGTCAATGTGGTTTTGGTTTCATATTTTATAAAGGACCTGGTGGTGTAATTCTTCTCAAACAAATCTTATAAATGTGAAGTTCAATTATAAGCACAAAAATAGGGGTGGTGTTTACAGGCTACAAAGCATAATAGAAAAATAACTATCAAAGAGTTAACTGTACATACAAAATTAGCTAAAATGGCAAATGTTATATATGTGTGTAAATACAAGGAAAAAATTAGAAGCCCATTTGTACACCAATGTTCATAGCAGCCATTATTCACCATTCCAAGAACATGGAAACAGCTCAAATGTCCAACCAAAAATTGAAGAGATTGAGAAACAATAATACATTAACATGATGGTATATTACACAGCACTCAGCAGCAATTATTTTGAAAACTACTACATAACTTGAGAGGGACTGGAAAGCATTATGCTGAGTGAACTAACTCAGTCTGATAAGGACAAATACTACGTAAGATCATTATTGTAGAAATAGAAATGCAACTAGTAAAATGTGTATGAGGATCCAAGGAGGAGAAGGAAGAAGCAGAGGGGTAAGGAAGGGCAGGGTGAATCACAGAGTCGTTCAATTTAGTGGGTGGAGGGAGAGGAGGTAGAGAAAATGGGAAAGCTCCAGAAGGAATCTGGAAAGACAGAGGAATGGTGGACATAGTTCAATGGTGATTAATTTTATAAAACACAATGAATGAGAATGTTGTATGAAACACAATGTGAATGAAGGACAGTATGAAACAATGTACAAGAACTTTGTAAGCAAACCAATATAAAATAAATTTTTTTAAAAAAATGATAAGCCCAAGTACAACGAAATCTGGCCTTATGTTTTTAGTTCCTCCTCATTCACCAAATACTCCTTTTCTATGGAGGTACTCAAAGATCAGCTGAAATGTAGCTTAAAGGAGTTTGGCACTTAGTGTATGAAATGGAGAAAATTTCTCACTTTGGAAGTTCAGAGCTGGTGATTCACTGGGTCATTTAACAGTGAAAATAATCCTGAAAGTCACCAAAAAAGGGTGCATCACACCGTTAGAAAGCCCACAAACTAAAGGCTATGCACAACCCAGCAATATTTTCATTATAAAGGAAGTCATTGCATGCACATTCAGAACCCCATATTCTACATACTATGCTGTTTCTCTACTTTCAAATACATGGAGCTCTAGTGTCAAGAAGCTGCACTGCAATCCTGAAGGCATGTGGTTCGAGGCCACCAGCTGCTTCGTGGGAGAAGGACGGGCAATCTCCTCCCCTGCGATTAACTGCTTCTAAAACCCACTGGAGGGTCAGCAATGGGTCAGTTCTGACACTGTGGTACTCAAGAACACTTTTCAAATATATAGTATTCACTTTGCATCAGGATCTAATCCCATACTTGACAAATATTTATTTCATTTAAATTATTTTATTTATTTAATCACCCTAATTCATACATATTTCATCACCATAAAACCCCTCTGATAATAATCCCTATTTCAGAGGTGAGAAATTAGAGACAAAAATTAAACAATGTCCACACAGTCACAAAGCTAGTAAGTAGTTAGGCCAGAATCTGAGTTCACACATTCATGGCTCCAGGGTCCATCACATCCTTCACTATATTCCTGCTGTCTTAACTTCTCCAAGAACAAAGAGACAAATGAGAAGTAAACCAGAAAGAGAAAGAATATTGCTGAGAGGCAGCTATGTGATTCTAAAACAACAGACTATCTTTGTTTGAGGAATAGCAAAAAAATGTTAAGATCTGAAAGAGTCTAAAATCTGAAAGGCTGTTCAGAATTACTCATCATGGCAGTCTTTGAGAGCATCAGTCTATTTTACAAAAAAATAGAAGTGAGCAAAATGCCCTTCTGTCTCTTGGTGGTAGTGGTGTACCTTCACGTTGAAACCAACTCATGTCTGACCCTCCAGTAGGTTCTCTGAAGCAATAAACGGCACAGGAGGAGATTGTCCATCCTTCTCCACAGAACAGCTGATGGATTCGAACTGCATGTCTTTGGGACTGTAGCACAACAACTTCTCGTCATTAGGCCACCAGAGTTGTCACTTATTTGAAAACTCTCTTAATAGTTAGTATCAAGGTAAATTTGTGTTACAGTCTTTAAGATAGAGAATTTATACACTTTAGGAAGACATCCACCTAAAAAGGTATGTAGTTTAGAAGACTTATTATTAACTGTCTCCAGTAGCTTCTGATTCATGTAAACTCCATGAACAACAGAACTGCTGCCCGGTCAGAGATCACTGAGTTCCACAAAGTTTTCACTGGTTGGTTTTCAAAAGTAGATCACCAGGCCTTTCTTCCCAGTTTACCATAGTCTAGAAGCTTCACTAAAACCTGTTTGGCAACACCCAGCCCTTCACTGACAAATCAAACCAACATGTATTTCACTTATTTAGAAAATTTACCAACGTGTAAATAGATTTTTCCCATGTGCAAATTCAACATTTCAACAATGCTGCAGAAACAAGTACTCTTATTAATCCACTTCCTAAACAACATGCCTCTGGAAATTCTGTGAGCTTTGATAAATGAAGATAGTTAGAGAAAGGCTTCAGGCCTTTTGTTCATAGGGTCTCTATGAGGCGTGCTCAACTGGATGGCAATCAACAACAGTACAATTAAAAGATAAAGATTACAGAAACAAGTGATATCACTTTAATGTGAATGCTTCCACAGCTTCTGAAGAGTGTTTTAAGTAAAACCACACAGTTGAGCTAGGTTTCATTTAGGATTTATAGTAATTGATCAGAAACACGTTATTTAACAATGAATCTTACTGGGTTAGCTGCTTTCTGCTTCCAAAGGTGCAATGCTCCATGGAAAGCATGTGCGATGATCATGGAGCCATCCTCACTGAACTGGCAGTCATAAAAGCCCAGAGTGTTCCCACCAACCTCACCTACTCGAACCTAAGAAAAAAGGAGATGGAAAATAATTCTCAACTAACAATCCACACTGCTCCTGGAAGTGGAAACCATTTGATTCCAAAAGCTGTTTAAGTTCTAGTCATTTAATACACACAGACTGAAAATCTGCAGCAAGAGGAACAGAGACATGAGGTTTAAATATTCAGTAAGTAAAACCCAATGTTCTGTTTCTTAAAGAAATATCCATGCATTTTTACCTGTTCTAGCCAAACTCCTGACTCTTCATCTGGAGCCCAGAGAATCATGGTTTTATCCATTGAGGCGGACAACAATCTCATTGGTTGCTGTAGAACACCATCTAAAGGACAAAAACAAATGCCTTCAGCTGATCAATAAGCATCATTTAACTACTAGAAAAAACAGCACCAGAAACACCACCATCAAAAGTACTACAAAAAGTTCATTGTAACTCTGCTTACAATAGCAAAAATTTGGAAACATAAATGATTAGTATTAGAAAAAAAGATAAAATCATTTTAATCAGATAAGAGTATTATACTTCAATAAACTAGATTTATATGTATCAACACGGACATAGTTTTAAAATAATTTTTTTAAAAAGCATATTATAGGAGGACAAAAGCATGTCCATATTGTTTTAACACATTTTAGTAGCTGTAAAATTAGATTAAGTTTGTTGTTACATGCCATCAAGTCACCTGAGACTCATAGCGACCCTGTGTACAGTAGTTCTGTACCCTGATTTATCTTGAGCCTATGTCATTGTCTTTCACACACATAGCACTATTACCCAAGTCACTGAGTCAATCTATCTCACGCAGGGTCTTCCTCTTGTGCATATGGTCATATAAATGTGTATTAAGAGTATAGTGAATCTACAAGCAGGAGAAGATAAAATAGATGAATGGGACCTTCTAAGAATCAAATCCCTATGCACATCCAAAAACTTCTCCAACAGGGTAAAAAGGGAAG